GACTTATAAACTTTATATATATATATATATATATATATATATATATATATATATATATATATATAAACGATATTCCGTTTTAATAATAATTGGTGAAGACATGGTCTTTACTTCAGAATTTCTGTGAACTGTCTGTGTCTGACTTTCAGTGATTCCCTTCGTCCGTTCACTCGATCTCTCACTCGTCTGCTACTGAAGCAGGGAAGCCAGTCTTCCTCATGGGAGGTGGCTGCGAATGCATCCGACGCAAACACTCACGACGGGCATAACATCTCCGATGAGGAATCGGTGGCGCAAGTGGTCGCATAAACACTAAATTTCCAAGGCGAAAAATGTCGTTAATATTAGGAGGACTCGGAATCACGATATAATCTATAGGATTTCGGCCGCCAAGTGCGTCAAAAATGTCGCATACGGCTCTCACTTCGAACCGTAAAGCGATATCATGCAATCAAAATAGGGCACGAGTGAAACGGGTATTGCATTGCACGTGCATTGCATCATGTAAAATAGATCAATAATGTTGGACGCTCAAGAGACGCTCTGTCATTCAAATTATCGCAAAAAATATGTACATGTCACAAAACCAACACCTGCCATTTCGATCATAATGCCTTATTCTTATTGTTATAGGAGACGTACGAGCAACGTTTCAATGTTTCTTCAGGGACGAGCCATGCATATATTATAGGAAAATAAACGAAATCGGCTAAGTTGTCCTCGTAACATGCTAACTTATTCCAGCTAACCCATAACCGATAAGTATTTCGTACAGCCACAATTAAAAAAAACTTATCCATAGTAGTCCTCCATAAAATGAGTTTTTTTAATGCTATGTGACCAACTGAACATATGGGAACAACGAACATAGGTACACAGCTTTTTCTCGAAATGCTCGTTGTGTTTGGCCCATTAAGTTGTTCCACCTCTAACGTTCACACACATTCACTAACTGATCGGAGCGAAAGCCCAAGGGAAGTAGATGCGAACAGATGATAAACATAGCCATCGAAACTTCAGTCCATCGCGCGTGATGATTTCGTATATTGGTAGACTTCTTAGCTATAGTTCATGCGTGATTTCGCTATCCCATAGCAGAAATCAGAAAATACAGAACATGCCTCGGATGATGGGAAAATCGGATGCGTGTCAGCAGCGACAGTCCTCATCCAGAGTGAAATAACGTGATCTTCTCATCGGATGACAGAACTTATTCTAATACTAATTATGATCTATAATAATATTATAAATATATGTTACAGTTATTGTATTAGTTTTTAGGGTGTTTTTTTTTCACAATAACGTTTCACTAGCGGTATTTCTGCTTGGATCAATTGTAATAGTTATCACATCCTGATGACTTGACACAAATTTGTTGTGGAAAGCAAAGGGACACAACAAACAAATATAGCACGTATATATATTTCATTAAAGGTTTAACCTTCATCCATATCAGCAGACATTCTACAACTGAGCACAGAATTGCATTATAGTGCTTCCGTTCAAAAAGGCGTAGTGCTTCGTCTCCAAGCGCTTTTGACGCCACTGCGCACGGATCGCTGATTCGTCCATTTTTTAGCATGAAAACGTAAGTTCGACCTTTGAAACATAAGAGTTATCTGAAATCGTAACATTGCGAACTTTCAATTTGTATTGACCTCCCCCCTGCATAGACGCTGATGCGGCAAAAGGATATCGTTCAGTCAGCAGAACAGCTTCTGAACAAGAGCTCGCACCAAAGGATAGTCTACCACAGGTACAGGTTGAATTTTTTCCCAACCTATTACACGGTAATTAGTACCACCACGTCAACGTTACAGCTCACGTTTCTTAACTGCTTACCAAATAAACTTACTTATGAAAATGACGCAAAGCAAGTAGGACGGCTTAAAACGCGTAGACATTCCAACTTGCCTTGCAATAAAGTGGGCCTACACAGCAAAACCGCCGATGGGACTAACGTCGTTCTGATTAAGTTCAGATGAATATAGCACTGTCTATGATATAATCTTTGAACGCTCAATGCTAAGTATGCTGGCGCTTTCTCTATATCCTTCTGTCCCTATACAAAAAAAAATCATCCATTTTACATTTGCCATTATGTATCTTCAGTATTTGTTTTCGATCTTGCCCACTATCTTCTCATTTACCGGTGCCATGAAGCGTAATTCCCATGACATAAGGCTGCTAAACGACTTGATGGCTATCAGTCATGCCATCATAACTTTAAGGGCATTCGAGGAATAGCGTTTCGATAAACTTCAGTTTGATGCGATAAGACTTTTGCCCTCCCTGTTCAGTAGTTAGGCAAAACATTTCGTTCATAATATTGTTTCTTAGAACGTTAATGAGTAGAACTGGTGAAGAAATAAAACAATATTTTCTAATTTAAGCCGATAGCATCTCCTATATTCGAAACGAACGAACACATTTCTCAAATGACTAGAAAAGACAGGAACTGTACTCGTAATAAATTGCGGCCGCTACGGTTAAAGCTTAGGATTAGCATACGGTCATCGATAAACTCTGTCAATGTTTATTTGTTTGTTTGCTTCAATAATTGCATAACGTTTACATCTGGAAGGGATCTTATATCTTCAAGTCTGACCAGCAGCTTTTAAATCAAGGCCAGAAGTCAGAGATTGGGTCACATCGATAAAGACACAACGATCAATCAAATGATTTTAAATGTTTTGAGTTATACGTCCGTTACTGTCGTAGTTAGACATTGCTTTAGACAGCTGGTCGCTCGCAATGAAGACGCAGAAGTTTGACTAGCTCCGGTTTGCAACCTAGATTCATAAACGCCACAACATGCCGTGTTTTCAAATTAAATGGGTAAGTTTTTTACTCCTCCACCGTGAAAGTCATTGAAAGCCAGGGATTTGAGGCTCAGTAGCCGAAAAATGACGAGTCATTGGTCTGTGCGTAGCAAAAAAGGCTGGTCCTCCACGGCGCTAAGGAGACCAGTAACGCCACGGCGCCAGTAACGACACGGGCTAAGGAGACAGTACATCGAAAAAATCCACTTCTTCGACCAAAACAGTAAAAGCAACACATCTAAGGTTGTCGTATACATCGCAGAGTTACGTAGAGTTCGATGCAGCCTAGAGGCAGTCTTCAATCATGCTGGCTGGATAGATGCTTAACAGTTTTCCAACCCGTCATTATGGATCGATTACGTCGCTATTTAAACGTAAGCAATCTCCTACGACCTGAGATAACGTTTAAGCAATATCACTGTGTTCGCAGTGATTTCCGTAATTTTTGTCGCTATCCGTAGCGAACGAAGCTTACTGCATGTACATCGATCCATCAATCGTAACCCGTAACAAGATCCTACTTACTAATAAATGATAAACTTGGCCAAATACATTATAAACGTCAGCAGACGTCGTCGAGCTAGTGTCATCAGGACAAGCGTCTATGTAATTGCTGTCCTTGCAAAGGCTGCCACCAGAAGCGGCGGCGGCGGCGGTTGGTGACGTTTTTTCTTCAAAACGGCAGTTATCATCGATGTCAGACGAAGCACCGCCCCAGCGCTGGAATTTACTGAGTAGTCGCTGCATCAAATTGGATACGAAGGGCGTAAACATTTCTCTACGATGGCGTTCCAGGGAAATGACGTGTGTAACAAACTCAGACAGTAGAGAGAATTTAATGACAACTAATGGTAGAACATGGCTAATTCGTGAATACGTAAATCAAGCAGTAGACAGACGGCTGGAGCATTTCGAGAGTAGTAGGAGTCGCATAAACCTGCATCTTCTAGCATTGACCTTATCAGGAACGAGAGAGCTCTCAGATAGCCCTGTGAGTACAGCTCTTTTCTGCTAAAAGGACACAAGACAAGAACGTCCATCTCTGAAGAGACAAAATGATGCACCATGATACGTACGCTGTGTTACCAAATACTGTTTAGAGCTGGCAATCTCATAACCATGCATTTTTGGATTTAATGAGGCTGCCATTGATCACCTGAAATCGACTAATATCGTAATCATTAACTGAATCAACCAAAATCTATAACAAGCGCTTGTTGCGCCTTGTCAACCCTATGCTACGGGCGAAATGCGCAGAATAATATCTATTTTAGATCAAGTATCCATGTATTTTCGAATAATTTTTCTTTGTCTTTTTTAATCATTGCGCTTGAAATCCGTAATGATATATCTGTTATTTAAAGCCCTTTCTTCTGAAGCGACAAACTTCTGGGCCTGGGATGGTCTTATTTTCGAAATTGTGAGATGTCCTTTTCTAATTGTGTCATTGTACGAGTTGTGATTTATGGGGCAATCGGGGATGGCAAAGCAGTACCGTACTGTTGTCGACGAAATCATCAAAATGACCGAACGATACCCAATGCAGACGACTTATTGTTCAGCGAACAACAATAAGAAGATGTAACGATTGCTTGTGACAAGAGAACTTGCGGACGTTCTGAAGTCGATGCAATTCTAATCCGAGCGCAACAAGTGCATGAGGCGTCTTCTTTTGAACATTGACGCTTCCTTCGTATGGTTGTATCCTTTCGGCAAAGTGTCATATGATACGTTCGAGGTGTACACCTCTTGGTCTTCACCGCGGCACGACGTTTACGAACGCCATTAAGTTTCAGAACAAAAACGTAATACAATCGGTTAGGCTAGAACAGTGTACAATCTGTGTACTTTTTAGCACGCTGAGCATATTGCAACTATATGATTAGACTGGACATGATTGTGGTAGCTAGAGGAAGCGTTCCTTTTAAAGAGGATTTTCTCACAGCTACACGTTTGCCTCTATGTGGTCGCCAAATCTCCGCTAGACGGAATTCGTTTTGGGCATATGGATACGGATAACAATAAACCAAACGCAGTCAATGGATTACTCTTGCAATAGCCGTTTTAGGCAACTCAACAGCTTTCGTTCATGAAAATCGAGATGAGACTTTGCTATTATAAACGTAACCACTGAAATATTTTCTTCATTATCTTAATTTTGCATTATAAGAAAAATAATGACAACAAAGGGCCTGCTAGATTTCCACTATTTGGCTGAAGTCAATCAAAATCCACGCTTGTTAACAAAACGTAGTACGAATCGAACGTCTACCACGCCAACGTAATTATCAAAATGGCGTCTCCTCGTCCTGCAGCCGTAACACCAACTTCAAGTACGCTGCGCATTTGTTGGTCTATAGACTCACAGCACAACCAAGGTCAAACGACGAATGCCGAAGCTCAGTTAGCAAAGGAGGCGGATGCATAAGAATGAAACGTTTATTTGGATTCTCCTTCAGGCCCGCTCCTTAGCGACCTATCATTTACGATTACAGAAACTATTTGCTATCTGACTGCTTGTTTGCCTGCCTATCCAAACCATTGTCTAATTTTTGCTTCCTGCTAATACGAACGTGAAATATGGGTCAGTGATGAATCGCTGCTGAGCAACTTTTGAAAACTGGGGATTTCGGTGTAAAAGCTTTGATCACAATGTCGTCTGGCTAAGATATATTTAAATACTATACATTAAAAGTAACTGGTTAACACGCTATGAAACAGGAGATAGATAGACTGAGTAATTTTGAATGGCTTCAACGAGGTAAATAACTATATACGAGGTAAAGTCTCGGGTAAAACTGAGCTGCTACAAACACAAATTAGCTATGTGTTAGGTAAGCTATTAAGAGCACACTTTTGTTATTATGTTTTTTTCTAAAAACGCAGTCATCAATATGACGACAGCTGCGATTATCAACATGACTTTATAAGAACTTTTCGTCTTGAAGGTGCGATTTGATCGGGTCGTTTATTTCTACTACGTGTCAAGGGCACCAAACGGTTTCCGTCAGTATAACGATGATTTGTTTACCGTCGCCGTGTGACAACGCTGTCAAAACAAAGATTTCGCCTTGGGTCGCTGATATGGCTTTCGACGCATTTAGAGACCAACCTACAACATCGTCATCCCAACATCGGCGAAATCCGACCCAAACGTCTCGTGGAGACACCAGCTAATGGCTATCGTAAGCTCACGTATAATTGTCGTAACTGTTTTTTTGAGAGCTCTCATTGCCAACAATGGGCCAAGCACAGGGGCTCATACATTACGGTTTCATCTGCTAATCGCAAATCTTTTAATGCGCTGGGAAACACTTTGGGTACAAGTATTATAGAAAGCGCATTGCCCGCCCAATTAACTGAAGTTAAAGGTCGAACATCCCAACTACCCATAAATTATCACTGCTGTTGTCGTCTTGTACCTGAGATAACAAGAGGAAGTTTCATTTAA